CTTTGCTCTGTGGATCGGGGACAGCCCCAGAGGCCCTGTGCCCAGATAGGGGCATGGGAACTTTCAGCAGTTCCTCATCAGGGACCACAAAGAAGGAGATGGATGAGGTGCTGGGTTTCTGTGTTCCCCTGAATGAGTGGGAGGGACGGGGGGATGCTGGGGGTGGGGGCAGTAGGGGGTGGTGGTGGTTTTGGAAACTCTTGCTTTGGTTTGGGGCTTGGAAACCCAACCCAAACCCTCCCTCGTCCCTCCTCCTGGCTGGCCCCATGCAAGTCCCAATCCTCAAGACCAGAGAGGTTGTGTATACAAAGAAACTTTCCATTCTGACAGCTCAGCTTGGCTGTTTCCTCCTTCTCCTCCCTGCTGCTGCTGCAGCAGCTGCTGCTGCTGCTGCTTCACTCTCTCGGGTGCCAACAAGGTCCTGGAGGCAACAACCCTCTTAGCTCCCCGCCCTTCTTCCCGAGGGCTGAAATTCTGGAAAGGAGAGCCTCTGTTCTCCAGAGACAGGAGGGAGCGTCTTGGCTGAGGTGGGGGTGGCTCATTTCTTAGGCAGGCTCTCCGGGGAGGGGTCCAGGTATGCTGGCCAGGAATGAAAACCTGCCTGTTATCAACTTCTTAGGTGATTGGGGTAAGTCCCTTTACCACTTTCTGTGCCTCAGTTTTCCCCTTCAAACATTAGAGAGTTTCCTTCTCTTGTTCCTATCTTATCTCATTGGATCATGTATGTGGGGGGATTCAGAGAGGGGTGCTTTGGAAGCAGGAAGGTTTATATCGAAAGTGGGGAAAGACTTAGGGGATTTGGCTCCACCGGTTTCTATTTGCAGTGTGAGGAGAGGAGGAGGAGTCATAGCCGGTCCTTAAACATGTTCCCCTGAGAAATTGGAGGTGGGTGGGCCCCCTCGGGAGTAAGAGATGGTGTGTGGGTAGCTGGGGAGGGACGGACCCAGGATGGAGTTAGAAAAAGGAACCTGAGACCAGAAGGAAGGGACAAGGCAGCAGATTGAGTGTGGGTCTAGAAAGGAGTGATCAGGCTATCAAACGTGAGGTGAAGAACACCCAGACTTAGGGGCAGAGGAAATATGAATGGGGTACCCTGGAAGAAGATTTCTAAAACAGTAAGGAACCAAACAGCGTTTGTGCTGAGACAGAGAATCAGGGGATAGTGGGTCATGGAGCTGCTAGTTTTGAAGGAATCAAGCTGATTCTGATTTTCTTTATGAGACTAGAGGGGAGGCATGGGAGCATGGGTTTTTAGAGTTAGAAGACATCTTGGAGATTATCTAACCCAGCACCTCTTCCCCATTTTACAGATGAGTAAACTGAAGCCCAGAGAGATTAAGTGACTAATATAGCTAGGATACATAGGTGAAATATAGCTAGTTAATGGCAAGAGCTAGCATTTGAACCCAGGTCTTTTGGTTCAAAATTAGGGGACTGTGGAAGAGAAACTACATACCTTAAAGGTAGCTAGCTCATGCTGTGGATATAGTGCTCGTCCTGCAGTCAAGCAGTTTATTGTTGTTCAGTTGTTTTTCAGTCAAGTCCTACTTTTTGTGACCCCACTTGGGGTTTTCTTGGCAGAGATACTGAAGTGGTTTGCCATTTCCTTCTTCAGCTTATTTCACAGATGAAGAAACTGAGGCAAACAGGGTGAAGTGATTTGTCCAGGGTCACACAGGCAGTGTGTCTTAGGCCAGATTTGAACTGGGGAAGATGAGTCTTCCTGATTCCAGACCCAGTACACCACCTAGCCACCCCCAGGAGTTGGGGGCACCTGAGTTCAAAGCTGGTCTCAGATATTTACTAGTTGTGTGACCTTGGGCAAGTAATTTAACCTCTGTCTGTGTCTGTGTTCTCAACTGTGAAATGGGGATAATAATAATACCATCCAACTGATATTATTATTATTATTAATAATAATAGCCTTACCTCCCGGGGTAATGGTGAAAATCAAATGAAATAATATTTGTAAAGTGCTTAGGACGCTTCATAAATGCTTATTCCTTCTTATAACGAGATCTACATTCATCCATGGTTATTTATTATGGGCTGGGAAGCATAATGCTACAGGTAGTACTAGTGAGGTCCCTCTGAATGAGTGTGAGGCATGGCCTTGGGGCAGAAGTACTAGAGATGAGGCCTTACAGCCCCTCATTCCTTTGGCTCCTACATGTTAGCTGAGTATAGAGAAAGAGTCATGGGTTTGAGTCCTGGTACTTCAGAGTTGTGTGACCTTAGGCAAGTCAATTTACCTCCTTCTGCCTCAGTTTATTCATCTGTAAAATGAGACTAATGCTATTAGTCCTACCTACCTTATAGTGAATCTTGACACATTATAGAAATGAGTTATTATTATAATTATCATGTTTTAATTATTCATTTATTTATTGTATGTTATTATTATGCTTTTTACTCATATTTGGAGAATATTTGGCATCTTAAAAGTGTAAGGTTATGATTTTGGGCAGGGAGCCTCTGGCTTTAGGTAGATTTGAACTCAGATCTATGAGCAGCAACCTCTTTTCCAGAAAGCTCTAGAGAGAAATCTCATGACTCTTCCTCACCCACCATTTATGCAGATTAAGTGTTTGATAAGAGTCCTGGTCATGACGTTCTTCCTTGCACTGAACTAATGTTGTGCCCCATTTCCTGTAATCTTTGCTGTGGTAAGGGACTGAGGCTCCTTGAGGCTCAGCCTGGCTGACCTGATCTCATGTAGGAGGCTCTGGTGTTTCGTGATTCTAATAGCATTCTTTTACCATATTGAAATTGTCTCATGCTAGAGGTGGCTGGGATTTGGTGGTCGGGGAAATGTGGATTGCAGAGAAACTTAGACCAACGTGAACACATGAATGGGAGCAGATGTCTTGGGGAATCTGTGTTGGGCTGTGCACCTCTGTGCTCACTATTTGAGGAAATGCCAACCTTAAATTGGGAATGGAGTCCTTTGGACTGGAAATTTTGTGAGGTCTGATTCTGCATTTCTCCATGGAATGTCACAGGGGTATGAGGACTTTGAGGGGTAGGGGTTTCCCACAGAGTTAAAGGGTGTATAATTACTCTGGGGAGCCCTTATAGCATATATATTTCTTAGGGGCCAGGGCTCTCATTTTTGCCTTTGTACCTGGCTCATGGCAGGAGCTAAGTAAATGTGTATCGAGTGATTGGTTGTTTGCCTTGTCAATCATATTTCACGATCCAGAATACTCGGGCACAGGTGTGCTGAGGATCCAAGCTTAGGCTAGGCTCCCAAAATTAGCATCAGCAGGTATTTCTGGAATTGAGTGCATGGGAGAGTAGGGGAAGAAGAGGAGGTATTTGGGAGGGGGAGACAACAGATAAAGAGACATTTTGGGAATCTTACAGAACCATTCCTTGCTGCTGGTTCACATATTATACATCCATTTATATGCTTTTTAGGGTTCATATATTATATATTTCCATCTGTATGCTTCTTAGGATTTTAGGCTTAATAAAATGAGAGCTTGTTTTATGAGCCTTAGTTTCCCCATGTGTGAAACATCTAAGGTCTCTTCCCAGCTCTAAATTTATGATTCCTGATTCCTCAATAAGCAGTCATCCAGTCTCTGCTTACATACACACAATGACAGGGAGCTCATTACCTCTCAAAGTGGCCCATTTCACTATCAGACAACAGTATACTGTTCTCTTAGAAATTTCTCGAGAAATGTGAGCTAGACTTTAATGCAATTAGATATATTCAGAACACGTTGGATGACTGAATTCAAAGATTAGTTTTTAATGCTCAAATGCTAACTTTGAGGGAGGTCCCTAGTAGGATGGCAACAGAATTTGTACTGGGCCCCTTATCAGTGTTTTTGATAAAGGCACAGGTAATATGTTTATCAAATTTACTTTTGACTGGAGACTAGGAGGGAGACCCTGTGGATGACAGTGTCAGGATCCAAAGAAAACTTGAAAGGCTACATTTAGCATTTGCTGTTATGTATGCTATGCCATGCTAAGTGCTTTACGAATACTATTTAAGTCAGTCCTGGGGAGATAGGCATTATTATTATCCCCATTTTATAGTTGAGGGAACTGAGGCAGATAGAGGTTAAGTGACTTGCCTATAGTCACAGAGCTTAGTAAGTTTTGATTTGAACTCAGATCTTCCTGACTCCAGGCATCATACCACCCAACTTCCTTGTGTAAATGTAGTCTTACACACTGATTCAAAAAAATCAACTTCACAAGTGCAGAATGGGAGGGAGAAGGTATGGTTTAGATAGAACTTTGTCTGAAAAATATCCGAGGGTTTTAGTGGACTGTAAGCTTAATTTGAGTTAGTATCTGTGAGGTAGAAACCAAAAAAGATGACCTTGGATGAGGAGGTGGGCCTGCCTTGTGCTTTGCCTTGGTTAGGCTGAATCTGTAATGTCATACTTGGATTTGGGTACCATAGTTTGGGAAGGACATTGGGAGGTTGGAGAGCATTGGGAACAGGACAGGAAAGATGTTGAAGGGCCTTCATTGAATGTCATACGATTATTGGTTATAGGAAGATTGCTGCATGGGAAAGGGATATGATCTAGAGCTGGGAGGGGCCTCAGATGCCATGTAGTCCAATTTCCACTTTACAGATATAGAAAACTGAGGCACAAGGAGTTTGTGACTTGCCCAAGGTTATATGGATACTAAAAGCCTGAGGTAGAATTTGAACCAAGGACCTCTATTTCCAGACCCATCATCCTTTTCCTTCCATACAGCCAGTTAGTCTGACTGCCTCATTTTACAGATGGGGAAACTGAGTCACAGACAAGTAATTTGCTCCAAATCCTATAATTACTGATTGTCAACAGACCCAGTGCTTGTCCCCAGGTCTTCTCATTGCAAATGCAATGCCCTGACTATTAGAGGATGGCATCTTAGCATTGGGTATGGTGTATTTCTGAAGGTTAGATCTGGTTCCATCATCAGCCCTCGGTCTTCACTGATGGTCAGCTGGATACTTTGGTTTCTCTTTTCTTGTTTTCTAGGGCTCTACTGAAATCACCAAGAGCCCCCAGCTCCGGCCCCAGACTGTCAGGTATGCCAACCTCGGGAAAACCAGGAAAGGAGATTTGTGGGAGGGTTATTGAGGCTGGTGCCATGGACTGGTCACTGACATCTTGATTCTAGGGCTCAACCTCGTGTTACACAGGATGGGTAAACCAGAGACGATGAGACCAAGGATGGACTGATGATCATTGCCTGAAAATGATCAGTGGAAGGGATTTAATTGAGGTGTCCAAAAGATACCTTCTGTCCTCCAGGTTCTTCTGCTGCCAGGATGGGGATCCACCTTGGGAGGCTACACACAACCTCTATTGCTTTGGAGAACCTTAATCGCAGGAGAGAAGCTCAGGTGGTTGGGTAGAGGGATGGATGAGGTGCCTTGCCTTCATCAGGAGTCCCCTTTTTTTCTGTTAGGTTCAGTAAGCTTGTTCTTCCTCTTCCACTGCCATATATCTTGGCTATCGGCTTTTCTGTCCACGGTTCCCATCAGTTTGTCCCCTTTATATTAATACTACTGATACTACTGGTTTACTGACACTCCTGGGTGTGAAGGGAGCTATAGAATGAGCCAGTTCTTAGCCTTGTTTGATAGAAGAGTCATGGAGAAAGATTGAGACTTGGCTGAAGACTCATGGTAAGCTATGGATTGACTTCAGTCTCCTTGCTTTCCACCTGATACCAACAAACCTCCTTGAACTCTCCATGGACTTTCCTGGGGCCATTTTCATTCGTTCATTTGCTTGTGAAGACCACTGTGTTCAGTCCTGGGGTGGGGGAAATACAAGAATAAATAAGAAGCTCCCTAGATCTCTACACTTGAAGATTTTGAAGTCAAGTAGAAGAGCTTAGATTAATTGGCATTCCTATAGCATTTTAAGGTTCGCGATGTTATCTCATTTAATAGTTTGATTCTCAGAACAACCCTATTAGGTAGATGCTATCATCCCCATTTTACAGATGGGGGAACTGAAACAGAAAGACCTTACTCAGTGTCACACAGTAAGTGTCTGAGGCAGGATTTGAGTTCAGGTCTTCATGACTCCAAGTTATGAAGTCAACCCTATCCATCTAGCTATCTTGAAATCTATCTATGTTTCATCTTTTTTGTCACGGCGAAAGCTGGAAAGTGCCAAGAACATTGGGAGGCAAAAAAATTATACCGAAGTAATCCAGGCATCTCATCATCTTCCCTGGAAGAGTGCCTGAGGTTTGGGGGGCAGGTACAGCAAGTGTCTGCTGCATATAAACCAGTTCTCCAAACGCAGTCATCTGCCATCCAACTTTGTACCCCCTCCCTTTCCTCATGGGCAGAGAGAGGGGAGTTTTCTGCTAATCTACTACATCTGCTACCCAGATGCCCAGATTACCCAGCTGAGAGAGTTAGTTTCAGGTGGGTTGGAAAAGCATTGCTTGGAAAATCATGGCGCTTCGCATCTAAGTCAGTCATCATTGACTGGAAGGAGGGAATTAACGAATTGGTGTTCTTTGACCTTTATGTATGCCCCCTGAACCTTGATTCAGGAGACCTACGGCAGACCTGGTACTCAAATTAAGCAACAGGATCTACAAAACCATCTTTGTGTTAGGGAGAGAGATGTCTTAATGCAGGTGGCATAAAAGGGAGGCAGTATATTACAATGGTTAGATCAGTGGACTCAAGAGCCAGCAAAATGTGAATTCATATCCCTCCTTAGATACTTCCTAGGCAAATTAATTCTTCTCTCTCAGCCTCAGTTTTTAGATCTACGAAAGGGAGATAATAAAAGCATCTACCTCATAGAGTTGTGGGGATCAAATGAGAAAATATATGCAAAGTACTTTGTAAACCTTAAATCAATATATAACTATTATTATTATTATGAGTTATCTTCAGAGAGTGCTTGTGAAAGGTCCAAGAACAGAGATGAAAGTTGAAGAATACCCAAATTGGACTCCCTGGGGTCTCTCTACAACAACCCTTTTCTCCCAATCTGACCCTATTTTTACCCCAGGGAAAGACTTCTCTCCCTAATTTCCAAACCTCCAACTGGAGAGCTGTGCTCATTGGACATAGGCCAGGGGCTTTAGAGGCATAGAATGTAAGCTCCATGAGGGCAGGAACTGTTGGTTTCCTTGTCTTTTTATCCCTGGTGCCTAGGCCATTCCTGGCATACAGTAGGTACTTAATAAATAGTTGATTGGTTGGATGATTGATTCTCAGACAAGTTGCACATCTTCAGGTTCTGGAACTTTTAGGAGCCCCACAAAGCCTGAAAACCCATATGTTCTTCCACCTTCTAGGTGGGTGCTCACTATCTTGCTTGAAGGCAGGGAGAATGAGTGTGAACATTGCTGCCTATATAGTGTGACATTTCATGGATGGAGAAACTGAAATCCTGGGTGATTCTGACTCAGGCAGGAGGTGGGGTGGAATCTGGGGGTAAAAAGGGGTAGAACTTGGAATTACACCCAGGAGTCCTACTTATCATGCCAGCTCTCTCTCCTTTATTTGTACTACTCTTTAGTCTCTAATGGAATCTCTCAGCCCCAACTCAAGAGGAGGAAGGGGAGGAGCCTCACGATGCAGAATATGACCTTCCAGCTTCACTGCCCCTGACTCTGGGCACTGCCATTGGTGGTTGAGGGCTAAACCTCCCAGGCTGGCTGCCCTCTTATCTGAGAATACAGAGGTGCTGTGGCTGTCTGCCATGTGAGAGGCCCCTTTCCTTCCTCCCACTTCCAATGGGCTCAGACTCAGCTCTCATTCTTACTGTCCTTAGGAGTAAGGCATGTGGCTGCCAAGAAGCAGCCTCAGTGAGGTGAGGGGGGCAGAGGCATGCAGGAACAATGGGCTGGAGGCTGCTGAGAGGAGAGGTGGAATGCAAGCTGTGGCGTGGCTCACCTGGGGCCCAGGTGAGGGGTGTCGCTCATCCCTCCCTGAAAAGGACTCTTCTCCATTGCAGGCAGTGTGGGTGGGTACCTGGAGGGGGGGAGAGGGCAACAGGAAGCTGAATTTTAGGAGGTGCCTTGAGCTTGTGTGCCCCTCTTCGGTACTGACCTTTTTTGAGTCCTTCTCCTTATCTAACCTTGCCTGCTGCACGCAAGCTCCCTCAGGCCTTCTCTCTGACAGCCAGGAGGGCTGATCTCAGTGCCTTGAGAGAGAGAGAGAGTACTCTGTACCTGGATCCCTGGCCAATTCTAGCCCTGTCATTGACCTCAGGAACTCCCCGGGGGTAGAGGCCAGGACCAAGGAGCTGGTGACAAGCCTAAAATTTGCATGTTGTGCAGAAATATGTTTAGTTCTTACCTTTCTCCTTATGTCCCTCCCTCCACATCCTGTCTCTCTCTTTCAGTGTCCCTTTCAGCCCTACCTCTCTTGTTCCAGCCCTTGTCTCTTTCTACCAAACCATCTAATTTTTCTCCCATTCCAGGACCCCTCCAGTCTCTGACCCTCTCCTTACAATATTGTCCTTCCCCCAAGCTCTGTTGTGCCACATAATGTTAGTCAAGCCTGGAAGAGCTCTAGGGAGAGCCCTGTCTTGGCATGTCCACCGGGGCCTGTAGTGCTCTTGAGTTGTTGACCGAGGTGGGGTGGAGATGCTTATGGGAGCGTTTGGGTGTCTCAGACGCTGAGCTTTGACCATTGCCTTCCCCCCTCTCTCCCTTGTCTTCTCAGGAATATGAGCATCACCCAGACCATGGAGGACAGCTGTGAGCTGGACCTAGTGTATGTGACGGAGAGGATCATTTCCGTCTCTTTTCCTAGCACCACCGATGAGGAGAACTTCCGAAACAACATCCGGGAGGTGGCCCAAATGCTCAAGTCCAAACACGGGGGCAATTACCTGGTGAGGGGAAGGCGATCTCGTCTACACCTTTATTTATCCATTGGGCTGTGCCTTCTTTTTCTTTTGATCATCTCTAAAGTTGATGCCTTCTCTGCCTGCTTGTTACTTTATCTTCTGCCTTTCTATCCTATAGGTATTATTTCACGTTTGAAGTCAGTAACTCTTGAGACTGACAGCAGCTACCTTGTTAACTCCACAAAGTTCAGAATCAGTTATTAAGAGCCAGTCTAGAGGATGGGGGCAAGAATGCAAGAATGGTGAATGGCGAATGGTCATGTGGAACACTTGAGTGAAGTGGGGAGATTTAGCTGGGAGAAGTCTTGGTGGACTGGGAACGGGTCTTGTTTACTGGCTTCAAGGATGGATGCATCCATGAAGAAGTGTGGCTGAGTGGAAAGAGCAGTGAACTTTAGAATCAGGAGGTTTGAGTCCCAGCCCTGAAACTTGCTAGTTGTGGGGCTGGGGCAAGCTTCAGTTTCCTCATCTGTAGCATTGGGATAAAAACACCTGTTCTACCGAGTTTGCAGGGTAGTTGTGAGGAAAGCGCCGTGTACATCTTAAGGCACTGTGTCAATGTGAATTACTCCAGTAAGACTTTGTGGCTCCAGAGAGAAGGACCAGTGTTTGTAAATTTCAGAAAGGTAGATTTCAGCTCAGTTTAATGAAGTACTACCTAACAAACTGGACTATCCCACAATGAAGTGGGTTACCTTGTAAAAGGGTGAGCTTCCCGTCACGAGAAGTATGGAAGTAAAAGCTGGATGACCAGACTTCCTGCCATTCGGGATGATGCAGAAGGAATTCTGGCCACCAGTAGGAGGTGCTAGTATATGGAGTCTTTTCCAATTGGGAGAGCCCATGATTCTGCTTGGTCCTAGGTTCTGCCTGCCTTTCTGACCTTCTGTCTATAATGTCGCCAGCTTCATGTGTTCTCTTGCCCATTGTTGGGTAGAAAGAACTGGAGATGGAGGGCCTAGGTTCAAACGCCACCTCTCACACGTCCTGTGTGGCCTTGGGAAAGTCATTTAACCTTATGTTTTGCATAAGTGCATATGTGTAACCTACCTCCGATGCTTACTGTCTCAGGGAGGGAGGAAGGGAGAAAGGGAAGGAGATAATTTAAATGAGTGTTAAAATTGGTTTTACATGCAATTGGGAAAAATAAAGATATTTTTAAAAATTGAAAAAAAAGATAGTCATTTAACCTTAGAGTACTTCAGTTTCCTCATATGTAAAAAAAAAAAAGAGAGGTAGAGAGCTCCTGAGGTCCCTCTCACTTCTAAATCTGTGATCCTAAGATCCTTCTCACCAAAGCAGAGACCATAGTGGACTACTTGTTTCCAGGCTGCTGGGGTCAGCTCCTTGGGATTATCTCATCTGACTAGGTATCCTAGTTGGAGCTGAGGTCAGGAAAACCTGAGTTTGAATCCTCCCTCACACAGCTTACTGGCTGTGTGACCTTGGGCAAGTCACTTACCTTCTGCCTGCCTCAGTTTCCTCAGTTGTGAATTGCAGATAACAAAGCACCTATTTCATGTGTCATGAGACTCGAATAAGATCATATATATTTAGCACTTTGTAAGGCTTAAAGTGCTACATACCATTGTTGTTATCATCGTTTTTTTAAGGCAGTTGGGGTTAAGGACTTGCCCAGGGTCACACAGCTAGTAAATGTCAAGTGTTTTGGTCTGAGGCCAGATTTGAGCTCAGGTCCTCCTGACTTCAGGGCCAGTGCTCTATCCACTGTGCCACCTAGCTGCCCCATCATCATTGTTAATACTAATTACTTCTTGTGGCTTCTGCATTAAGAGCTGTGCTGTGGAGAAGAGAGTCTCATGACTGAAATGGGACAGGGGATTCTGGGTTCAAGGTTGTGTGTCTGGTGCATGTCTGGGGGTCTTTTTGTAGGTGTGGGTAGGTGTTGCAGAATCGTGATTGTATGAAGGTGTGAAAGTGAGCATGTCTTGGAGGTCAAATTTAAGTGTGTCACACTCTCCTTACTTAATGTGTGTCTCTGTGCATGAATGCAGTCCATACAAGGGGTATATGTGTGTGTGTGTGTGTGTGTGTATAAGAGAGAGAGACAGAAAGACAGAGACACAGAGAGAAACAGAGACAGAGAAAAGAGACAGAGAGAGACAGAGGGAGGGAGAGAGAGAGAGTTGAGTGAGAGACAGAGAAACAGACAGAGACAGAGAAGCAGAGAGGAGAGACAGAGACAGAGACAAAGAGACAGAGAGACAGAGACAAAGAGACAGAGAGACAGAGATAGAGAGACACACAGAGAGAAACAGAGACAGAGGCAGAGAGAAGAGACAGAGGGAGGTGGAAGAGAGACAGAGACAGAGAAACAGAGACAAAGACAGAGACAGAGATAGAAAGACAGAGACACACAGAGAGAAACAGACAGAGGCAGAGAAAAGACAGAAGAGAGACAGAGGAGGGGGAAGAGAGACAGAAAGCAGAGAGAGACAGAGGAGGGGGAAGAGAGACAGAAAGAAGAGAGAGAGAGGAGAGAGAGAGAGAGAGAGAGAGAGAGAGAGAGAGAGAGAGAGAGAGAGAGAGAGAGAGATCGAGATCTAGATCTAGATCTAGTTTGATGGACCCCGGCAGTAACACATTTCTGGGCCTTGTGCTTGCGTCTCTCTTCCCTCGCAGGGTCAGGGAAGGGCTGGTATTATGGACCACGAGAGGTGTCACTGAAAGCAATCACATTGGGGGCCAACAAACGAGTTGGTGCTTTCCTCCAGCTCTCCCTCTACAAGCACGTTCCTTTCCTTCCTCACCCTCTGTTCCTTTTTCTTCCGCAGCTTTTCAACCTGTCTGAGCGGAGACATGACATCACGAAGCTCCACTCCAAGGTAAGCCCGCAGCCCCGTGCTGCTCAGAGGTGAGCATACTAGCTGTGCTCAGCTCTGCTCATTTCTTCAGAGGGAGTCACCAGAGGAGACCATCTGGAAGTCTTTATGCCCACTTTATTCTTGTCTCCTTTGAGGCTGGGGGTGAAGGTGGATGGAGTGCCACGGTGCGAAAGGCAGGAGTGTGGAGAACTCAAGTCAGGAAGAAGGAAACAGAACCTGGGGGGAAGGGCACCTTTGCTGTTTGTTCAGATATGAACCGAGGCATGCATTTGCACCAGGATAGAGCACCGTAGATAACTGGGAAAAAGGGACAATGAGACTCAGGCATCCTAGATCTCAGTGCCAAAATAAATCACTAAGTCATCCCTCTTTCTCCCTCCACCGTAGTGCAAGACAGAAGGAGCCCAGATGTTCCTTCTCCTGGTTATTTTAGGGCCTCATTGTGGGGTTCCAGAGCTTATGCTCAAAGACCAAACAAGAAGCCTTATGCTGCAGGGGGTAGGAGTTAAGTTGTAAGATAGTGGTGCCCTGGAACAGGTAGCAGCTCAGACTTCCTGTTGCTTTGGCCATGACTGTTGCTCTCCAAGGCTCTAGCTAGTTTCAGGAGCTCTGGCCTCTCTTACCCTTTAGCCCAGTGAACTGATCTGTGATCCTGACTCACCTGTCCTGGCTCCGGGAGAGTGGCACAGGCTGCTCCTTGCCTTTCCCGGGAAGTGACTAATGCTAGGGTTAAGCACCAGCTCCTGGCACCTTGGTGAGCCTTAGGAAGCAATCAGCAGAGGGGTCAGTCCTGCCAGATCCCATTCAATGGTAGGTGCCTTGGCCACACCTCCTGTCCAGTCGTCTCCTAATTGTATCTCAGGGTGGGCTGACAAGCAAGCCCCTCCAGGCACCTGGTGTGTGTGTGTGTGGCGGGGGGGAGGGTGGCAGGGGATTCCTGGAATTGGGAGTCCAATAAGAGGGTCCCACGTGGGAATACTGAGGTGTGGAGAAGGGAAAAGGCTGGCCAATCATCTGTGAGACTGGTGGAAACTTTTAGGGAATGAGCAAGCCAGGACTCGGGCTTCTGTGGTCACCCACTTCTAGCTCTTTTTATGTAGAATCAGAGATTTAGAGCTGGCAGAAACCTTAAAGATCATTTGGTTCAGCTTCCTAGAGTGAGGAGTTTATTGGCTAAGGTCACATCTATAGTCAGTTTCAGAGTCAGGATTTGAACCTAGGTCTTTTGACGCTAGATCCACGTGGTCATTGTACTGCACAATGCTACTATAACTGAAAAGGATGAAGAAAATTATCTGGAGCAGTGTCTTCATGTAACAGATGAGAAAACTGAGGTCTTGGGAAGCAAATTCTCCCTTCCCTATTTCTATTCCTCTATTCCAGGGAGGCTTCCCTCCCTCCCTCCCTCCCTCCCTCTCTCTCTCTCTCTCTCTCTCTCTCTCTCTCTCTCTCTCTCTCTCTGTCTCTCTCCCTCCCCCCTCTATCTTTCCCTTCCTTCCTCCCTCCCTTCCTCCTGTCCTTCTGTCCGTCCTTCCTTCCTTTTTCCCTTCCTCCCTCCCCTTCTTTGTTCCTTCTCCCCCTTCCTCCTTCCTTCCTTCCCTCGTTTTTCTTCCCCTCTTCCTTTCCTTCTCTTTCTTCCTCCTCCCTTTCCTCCTTTCCTTCCTCCCTCCCTTCCTTATTCCCTTCCTCTTTTTCTTCTTTTTTTCCTCCCTTTCTCCTCCCTCCCTTCCTTCTTCATAGTATAATAAAAAAAGTCTTAGTAGAGAGATGTAGTAGAGATGCCTACATCAGTGCATTACTGATGGCAGCTGCTGAGTGATTTCGGTGAAACATCTAAGGTAAGCTACTTTCATCACTCTTGACTTTCCCTCTCAGCCCCGTTGCCTAGTTTTTCTTCTCTTCTGCATCATAGGTGCTGGACTTTGGCTGGCCTGACTTACACACTCCTGCCCTGGAGAAGATCTGCAGCGTTTGCAAGGCCATGGACACGTGGCTCAATGCCAACCCCCACAATGTTGTGGTCCTGCACAACAAGGTCAGAGCCCCCTGGGCTTGTGCACATCCCCTTGTGCCTGTGTGTGCATGCATCGGTGTACTTCTGTCTCTGTTGTCTGTGGGTTCCTGTACCTTGGTGTATGCTTGGATCTGGGCTTGGGTGTGGAAGTACTGTGTGTCTGTCTGTGTCTGGTGCCATTGTGTTTTTTTATGTCTGTGTTTCTGTCTGCCTGGGCCTGTGTGTGTCTCTGAGCCTGTATCTGTGTTTCCCCCTCTGGTGATGCATATGTGTGTGCCCTACCCACGAGAGAATGCCAGGTTGGCACCCATTGTATCTGAGTGGGTGGCTCAAAAATTGTTGTTGATCAATTGCCTGTTATTTGTTTAGGGTCTGAAGGGCTTCTAACCTCCTTCCTGTTGTAGCTCCTTCTCTCTTTTCTGCCCACCCAAACCCCTCACCACAAAGGCCCCCTCATTCTTTTCCTCAGGAGTCCTGAACTTACCAAGCTGTACTGGCAAAGGTAATGTAGAAATTCCTGACTGGGTTAAACTGAGGTCTTTCTGGCCTTGAGAATGAATGCCTGTGTGATTTGGACTCTTTCAGGGAAACCGAGGCAGGACTGGAGTTGTCATCGCTGCTTACATGCACTACAGCAATATTTCTGCCAGGTAAGAGGGTCACTGGGCTATTTATCCCCTAAACTAAGAGAGCAGGAGACAAAGGCAATTTCTTCCCCCGTACCTACCTAATAATGACAATGTAGAAAAGCAGAGTTAAAGAGAGGGGCAGGGAAAGGCAGATTTGAAAGTATGGGGGCTGAGAGTCATTTAGTTTTGGATTGAAAGGGTCTTTTAGAGGTCTGGGGAGCACAGATGGGGAGAGGGAGACTTGTAGAAGCAGCAGTGAGGTTGGGGACAGCAGTGAGGTTAAACCCACAAGAGGAAGGTGGAAGGGAGGAAAGGGACCTAGGCAGTGATTAAGGATCTTCAATCTCTAGAAAGGACCTGTTGTGGAAGGGCCTCAGGAAGGTGGTGCTAATTCCTGGTCTCCACAAACCTGGAGTTTCTGGGCAGTCTTCCTTCTTGAAGGTGGGATGGCAGGGCTGAGGGTTGTGTGGTGGTGGTAAAAAGTAACCTACAAAGACAGATTTTAAGGTCAAGCAGGCCCTCCAGAGATTGATCATCCTACCTGTCTCCTCTTTCTACTCGAGTAAATGGCAAATAAGATGCCAGTGGATTAAGTTGTGGTATTTTTGTTTTTGATTTTTGACACTTCCATTCTTACTTGGAAGCAGAGGGATGAACATGATAACCTCTGGATAATCTGCCTGCCCTGGGATTCTGATTTTATTATTCCAAATAAGCTTGACCAAACCCCAGCTTCTGAAGCAGCTTTGTATTTCCCAAGACACTATCAGGGTCACGGTTGAATCTTTTCTCCCAAAGATTGCTTTGCATAGGGAGACTCCATCTTTGGCCTGAGGTAGGGGCCGTTCTTACCTGGAGGCAGGGCATGAGAGCCTGCTAGCTTGAGATCATGATGTGGGACAGTGGCATAAGCTGGATTAGAGCCAATCTACGTGACCTTGGGAAACATCCATGTCTTCTCTGGGCCTGTTCTCTCATCCCTAGCTCTGGCATGGTGGGGTTCAGTCTCTACAATTGTCTCCTCTCATTTCTCGCCTTCTCCCCACAGTGCAGACCAGGCCCTGGATCGATTTGCCATGAAGAGATTCTATGAGGACAAAGTGGTTCCTGTGGGGCAGCCATCCCAGAAGAGGTTGGTTTTGAGCTCCCATGCATTTGCATGTGTACATATGGGCTCCACTACCTGCTGGTGTGGGGCACAGTGGACTGCCATACACATGTATGTATGTATGTATGTCTGTACGTACGTGCCAAGCCTCCGTGTTTGGACTTTAGCCTGTGGGCTCTGAAGGGGTGAGTGCTCATATGATAATAGTTCTTCCCTACTCCAATAGCTCTATGGATGATCTCATCCATGTGGACCTTCCCTCTGAAGGCCCAGATGGCGACCCCTCCATGACTTCTTGTACTAAGCATTCCTGTCTGTGACTGCTTGTAAATCCCCTGCAAGCAGTCCATGCAGTGTTAGGGGGTGGCATTCCTCTCGGGGGTCAGCAAACTACAACCCACAGGCCTAGATCACAGGACCATAGATTTAGAAACAGAAAGGATTTTGGAGGCCAAAATCCCATCATTTTACAAATGAATAAGTAGCAGAGAAGAGATTCAAATGTGGGTCCTCTGACATTAAACCAATTTTCTTCCCTTTGTACCACCTGGTCTCCATACTGCGGGCAGCTGGGTAGCACAGTGGCAAGAGCATTGGGTCTAGAGTCAGGAATAACTGAGTTCAAACCCTGCCCTAGGTACTTACTAGCTGTGTGACCTTGAGCAAGTCACTTAACTTCTGTCTGCCTCAGTTTCTTCATTGGTAAAATGGACATAATAATAGCATTGACCTCCCAGGGTCATTGTGATGATCAAATGGGGTAATATTTTTAAAATGCTTCATAAACCTTAAAGCACTATATAAATGCTAGCTATTAGCTCGCTATTATCAATAGAGACCATGGTTGTCTATCTCAGTGACATCAAACTCAATAGAAATTGATTCCTGCTCTCCTTATATTGACTTAGAAAACCACAAATTAACATTATAAAAATTGGATTTTTATTTATGTTGTTCAACATTTCCCACCTATATTTTAATCTGTTTCTAGTGCACTCATGAGTTTGGCAGCCTGCTTGGGGCCCAGTGGCAGGCGAGTTGGACACCTCTGTGTGATTGATGTAGCTCTAACTAGGGTGGAGTGATCAGAACTTTGACCCAGGGTTCTAAAATTCAGAAGACAATAACAATAACCTAGAATGACAATTAACAAAAATAATTCAAGTAGGAGTGTCTAGGAGCTTCTTCCCCTCTCTGTCTACTCCTGTGGCCATACCCCTAGTAAATCCTGGCCCGATTTTGTATAGTTTTTCCCCAGAAGCAGCTTTATGATATCCTTTCCCCCATTAGCCTGTGTCCACACTCCAGGCAAGCTTCTCTTCCCCTCAGTGATACTTTGTCTTGGACCATTTGTTATGGACACAAAAAGTGTTAGACGCTTTTGGTGCCCAGTTCTTTGTTAATAATATGCTACCCCCTATTCATACCCACCGTGAGTGTCTCCATTCCTCTTTGGGTGACCTGTTGTTTTAATTCTTTTGGAGACTGTGTATTAATAAAAACAATAATACTTGAAAGTTGTTTAGCATTTTATAATTAAAAAAAAACTGTTCTGGATATCTTTTTTTAAACTATCTCCTTTGTTCCCAAATATTTCCTTCCCTGCTGTATTACCCAGAGAACCATATCTTGCAACAAAGAATATGTAGAAAGAAGGGAAGAAAAAGTAGCACATTGAAAGTAATCAACCTATCAACTGAGTCCAAGATATGCAATGTTTTATACTCATGTTTGCACAGTCAGTCAATAAGTGTTTATTAAGCCCCTACTATGTGCCAGGCACTGTACTAATCACTAAAAATACAAGGAAAAGGGGCAGCTAGGTGGTGCAGTGGATAGAGTTCTGTCTTTGGAGTCATGAGGACCTGAGTTCAAATCTGACCTCAGACACTTAACACTTACTAGCTGTGTGACCCTGGGCAAGTCACTTAGCCCCAATCACCTCACCAAAAAGTAAAGATACAAGGAAAGGCAAAAAACAGCCCTTACTATCTAGGAACCCAGTCTAATGAGAAGAAAACCTGCAAACAACTATACACAAATAAACTATATACAGGATGAACTGGAGGTAACCAGGAGAGGGAAGACATCAGGGAGGGAGAAAATGATTCATAATTTTAAAAGCATCACATTTGATCCTCCCAACAGCCCTGTGAGGGAGACAGGAGGCTCAGAGAAGGCATATGACTTGCCCAAGGTCACCCAGCTAATAAGCAGCAAAAGAACAAAGATTCAAACTCAGGTCACCAGACTCCTACTCCAGCATCGTGTCCTACACCACCCTGTGTCATTGCTCATAGAGAGGCACATGCTCAGGAACACGGAGAGAAGGCATATTAGTATTACCGTGTGGACAGACTTTAGTGGTGAGAGTGAGCATAGCTCTGTAGACCTCAATCCTGATAGAAAGAAGATCAAACTTGGGGTGAGGGGAACCAGTTTTTGAGCTACAAGTTCTAGTTTTTGTGTCTTAAAGTATACATGCAGGAAGAAATGCAGTCCACCTCCATCTACCCTTCAGAAGTGATAGGGGTGCATAGAATGGGAATATACTGTCCTTCATGTGTGAAGGGGATAAACTGAGGGTGAGCCTAGGGAAAGAAGGCAGATTCCATGGATTAGCCCACATTGTAGAGGTCAGAAAGTCTTTTGGGCAAAATAGACTTGGGAGCCACCCAGATATATAGTCTTGTTGATAAGCAGCTCACTGTCTGATGACTCTCTCATCCACTAAGAGGCTCAGAATGCTATAGATGAGATCAGTTTGCCTTCTGGGAAAGATAGAATAGGATAGGACAGGACAGGATAGGATGGGGTGTGATTGGATGGCATTGAACAAGATAAGATGGGGTGGGATTGGATGGGATAGGACAGAATAGGATGTGGTGGGACAAAAATGCATTTTTATAACATTTTAAGGATTTCATTTAAGCCTTATAACAAACCTGTAAGATAGCTTCTATAAGGTATTGGACTTGGAATCCCTGTTTTATAGATGAGGAAGCTAAGATGAGCTGACTTGCTTATAGCTATATAGTCAATAAGTAGTGGAAGTGGAATTTAAGTCGAGGTCTTCCTGACTTAATTCCAGAACTCGGCTCACTGTACCACGTTGTGGTCTATGGAACGATGCTTGTGTCCAGCCTCCAGTGTTTGGGGTCCCACTGGACGAGATATAGACCTGACTTCTCCAACAGGTTCATTGGCATGATCTTAGAATACTGCTGAACTTTATTTTTAAGTTATACATTATTTAAAAAAAATTAACCAGTATTTGTTTTCTTTCCCTTTTACCTCCTCTCCCCCTATTGAGTAAAAAAATCCCCAAAACTTCTTAACAAATATGCACCATCAAGCAAAACCCATTCCTACATTGGCCACATCCAAAAATGGATGTCTTGTTCTGCGTCTTGATTCTTTTCCTCTCAGTCACGAGGTGAATAGCAGGCTTCACCATTGGTTCTCTGGAATTATGGTTGGTCATTTTATTGATAAGAATTCGTAAGTCTTTCAGACTTTTTTGTTTTTACATTCTTCCCCTGGTTCTTCTTCACTTCACCCTACAACTGCTGAATGTTAAGTGGCAAGGCAGAACCTCAGGCCAGAAATCCTTGAGCTTAACCTATTAACTGAGCCTTCCTATCTAGAAAAAAAAGAGACAAAGCATTTTAATGGAAAGAGCATTGGATTTGGAGTCCAGTAGTTCCAAACTTGACTCCCCCTCTGATAGTGAGTAACTCACTTAGTTTCTCTGGGCCTTAGTTTCATCAGTTATACAATGGGAACAATAATACCTGTATTATTACAGAGGTAATGTATGTAAAACTCTTTGAAAACTTTAAGGCACTATATAAATGAGTGCTAATTATATCATTAACTAATCTCTGCTGGGTTGGCTGGGTACTAAGAAAAGGTGATGGGGGAAATATCTAAGCTTCTTCAGAATGGTGGACTAAAGTAGGGAACTGAACTGGTAGGCAGGAATAATGAAGAAGTTTCAGGACCCGCCCTTCCCAGCATGGCGCATATGGGGATAGCTGGAATAATGGCACTAGTAGACAAGGTCAGCATGCCTTTGTTGGGGTGGGGATGGGGGTTGGGAGCAGGGAAGCTCTTTTTCTGAGCAAAGGCTCTGGCTAAAAGCCACAAAGATAGCAGCTGCAGATCAAAGAACAGTCTTCACATTGCTCAGTGAGGAGGGGGCTGGGTATGTGATCTGGTCATTTCTTTTTCATCCTTGTGGGCCTAGTTGCAGAGCTCACTGTCAGTGGTATCCTCCTTGAATTGGAGGAGCACAGCAGTAAGCAGAATGTTGGGTTGTGATATGCTTTGGAGGCATGGTGGGTAAAAATCAGATCGCACTGAAGGACCACAATCACACCTCCAGAGGATTCCTCCATAGAGATCACAGGTAGCATGTATTTGGTGGTGGAATGTGAGGAGCATTCTGAGTCTGGCTTGCACTCAGAAGGTGTACTCTGAGCTAGTTGGTAGCAATGTGACTTTGGGCAAGTCTTAATTTTGTTTAGCTGTCTAGTGCAGTGGCTAGACCACTGGTCCTGAAATCAAGAAGACCCCAGTTCAAATCTGACCTCAGATAATTACTAACTGTATGACCCTAGGCAGGTAACTTAATTGCTATTTGCCTCAGTTTCTTCAGTTGTAAAATGAGGATAACAATAGCACCACCTCCTCACCTTGTCATAAAGACCAAATGAGATGATATTTGTAAAGTGTTTTGCAAACTTTAAAGTGCCATATAACTGCTATCTCTTATTCTCTGAGCCTCAATTTCCTCATCTGTAAAATGGGGAATATAATCCTTGCATTATGTATGCCACAAGGTCGTTGTGAAGAGTTGATGAAACAACGTCTGTCAAGTGCTTTGTAACTGGGAAACACTGTATAAATATAAGCTTTTGTTATTTGTGTGCTATGTGTCTTATTCACACACGCCTTTATGTGTGTCTGTATCTGTTCACGTGTGGACTTATGGCCAAAGGTAAAAAAAGTACCTTTGTCTACTTATGTATTTTGCTTTCCTGCCTTCTTTCTAACTCTTCAAGGTCTCTGGTTCAGTGGTTCTGCTGTGAATAAGGAGAGAAGTATTGCCCAAGGAGAGCCTTTGCCCACAGCTCCCCTGCCTGTCCCCCTAGGGCTCATTGTCCCCTTATACACACATGCATCCTGTTGGCATGATCTGGGGTGCTGATAAGGATCCAGCCACTCTGAGTTTCCTGTCAGCTGGGTGGGTGAAGGGCAGAGAAAGGAGTCTGAATAGGGCAAACTGGTGCCCATCAGATTACCCTGGCTCAGTAGTCAAAGGCAGCCACACCCAGTTAATGGACCAGGTGCCCCTTCTCTGTGTATCTGAGTCCCTGAACCAGTCCAGTCAAGTAGCCTATGAACAGAGGAAGAGTAGTGCTCTAGGTCACAAGTCCTAATGCCACTCACTTGGTGGACTTCCCATTCATTCATTCAATAAATGTTTATTGATTACCCAATTAGGGTAAAGCATTGTAGCCACATCGCCGCATCAAGAGGAGTACTGATCATATTCACATGAAGGATCTCTGACTATTAGAAAAAAATGAGAAGAGAACGACCAGTAATGGGCAGAGTTTGCAGAGATATAGTCCTAGAATGATACACTAGGACGCTTGGCTTTTAGACTTCTTTCCTTTCCTTCTCCCCCCATTCCTCCCAACTTTGTCTAGACATGCTTATATGTCCCTATTAGAAATCATTGGTCCTTTCCTAGCCTCAGTTTCCCTCCCCTGCCCACGCAGACTGGAGGTGATGCTGATCTTCCCAGTCACTCAAAGAGATGTTGAAGAAAGATTTATTACGTTGAAGGAGTTAGGAATATTTAGTTTGGAGGAAAGAAGGCTTAGTGGGGAAGTTTATGCACCATTTGTCCTTTGGTAGAGAAATTCTATGAAGAACTGGATAAAAACCTTCAAATTAAATCAACATACACTGATACTTGGTGCCTTCAATGCAAAGGAGTGAAAAGGTGAGGATGGGGAGAAATATATGGGAAAGTGTGGTTCCAGAAAAAGAAATGATAGAGGCCAAAGACTTGTAGGGTGGTAAGAAACCTCATACTTCTCTCTCATCAATACTTCAAAAAAAAGAATTGGAAGACAGTGGGCATGGTAAACAGCAAACAACATCACAAGGAATGAGCTTGATTCCATTTTCATGGATAGGAAAAACTTATTATTGATGTGGGAGTAATCCCAGAGTTGGCTGTCTGTTCACAGTCAGACCAGCAGATCTTCAGAGCTAAGATTAGAATTTATAATAAACAAGAAGAAAGAATAATAATGAGAAAAAAGATATGGCATATAATTTAGAATATTTAACCCTCAAGTATTTAAACAAACTACTAAAAATAAAAAATGGGAAGGGACATCAGATATAACAATGATATTGAAAATAACATTGACACTGATAACTTTACCCAGAAGTTAAATTAATTGCTGCAACAAAGAGCCCAGTAAGCACCTTAGTCAGCAAACATTTAACTTACTTGCCAAATGAAGAGAGATGTCTGCCAAAGGCAACATTGGGCTAAAATATAAACTTGTCTGCAGAAATCTTATGAAGAGGGATGATGTATACTTATGAACAGTATCATTTTATAAAGCAGAGAGACACAGCAGAGGGTAAGCCTAGTTTGAGGAAAACTTGGCAAGATGTTCAGCTAAGCAAAGTCATCCCAAGAGTGTTCAAAGTTGAAATTAGAAAGAGGACTACAAACAGAAGAAAAATGGGAATGACTTACAAAAACCACTTCAACAAACTGTTTATTCCATCAAGCATAGTGGAACCACTATATTTGGGCCCTAACATTACATTCTTTGAAGTGCTTACAGAGGAGGTAGAAATCACCCTATAGCAACAAATATGGGAAAAACATCTGGATTGGATTAAGTACATATAGAGGACATCTGTCCTGGAGGTGATATAATTGTGAGTGCTTTGATGGACTAATATACAAGGTATCTTAAGGAGGGGAAGATATCAAAGGTGTGAAAAAAAATCTCAGCCTCATGAATAAACTAAACTACTCACCTATATGCCCTCCCTTTATCTATGTAAAGTCTTTATGAGGGTCAACTATACATAAATCAAGGGCGTGTTTTATGAAGGTATAGTAGGCAATAGGGAAGCTTTTGAAAGAACTATCCAAAAATCGATCCCATCTTTACTATCTCACAGATGATTGAAAGATGTAGAGAACAGAAGATCTCGTTGTGCTTAGTGGTTTTTTTTTTTTTTGATTATGAAAAAAGGATTGAACTCAGAACAAAATGGTGCCTTATAGTCTCTTTTACATTAAGATGTCCCTCATCTATACTTCAAGATCATTCCAGATTCCTTAGAACATGCTACAACAGAAATAATTCTGTTCAATAACTGTCTGATAAACATTAGGTAAGACAAAACAGGGGATGTGTGCTCACCAAAATTATATCACTGGAGAAAACGTTAAAGAAATTGAGACCGCCATAGCTATCACTGTGATGGAGGAGATTTAGGGCAGAGCAAGTCGATCAGGGATTCCATGGAGATGATGGGTCTTCTATTTGCTTGTGTTTGAAGGTGGCATTGTGTTACCTCAAGCTTCAATACTTTGCAGAGCCTCCTGGAAAAGATCTGTAATCATTTAAAGGAGCTTGGCCTGTCCATCCACATAGGAGAGACCAAATGGATGAAGAATGTCTGTTGCCCATATTTCAATATGCTTCTTAACTGGACAACCCATAGGGCTTTTTAGCAGTATGTATATTGGGGAAAGACAAAACAGATGGACAGTGAGCTTGGCCCAGAATTGAAAAGGAGAGGAAAGAGGTCTGAATTGCTTTGGAAAATTGCAAAACACTTTTATTGGCTCCAGACTTTCCATAACAGCAGAGGCCTGCCTTTTCAATACAAACATTTTTGCCAGTATAGATACTAAGTGGCTGAGGCAGGATTTGAACCCAGTTTCTCTGGCTCTAGAGTCAGTTCTTTTTCAGTTGTATCATGCTGGCTCTAATTGTCACCTCTGTAAAAACAACTAAAAAAGTTTCATGTGAAATTGTAACCTTTGTCCAGAATACATTCAAGATCCTCCACAATGTGGCCCTGGCCTACCTTTCTACCCTTATTTTGCATCACTGTCTTTTGCTCATTCTTGTGTTCCAGCCCAACTGGAATACTTGCTGTCTCCGGTTCTCATCCTGCTCTTTTCTATTTCCATGCCTTTGTACAAGCTGCTCTATCCTCCCTGTTTGAAATGGTTTCTCTCTACCCTACCTAGGATCATAGGTTTTGGTTACGATTCAGTTGTTTTTCAGCCATGTCCTACTCTCCATGACTCCATTTGGGGTTTTCTTGGGAAAGATACTGGAATGGTTTGCCGTTTCCTTCTCCAGCTCATTTTACAGATAAGAACACTGAAGCAAACAGGGTTAAGTGACTTGCTCAGAGTCACACAGCTAGTAAGTGTCTGAGGCTGGATTTGAATTCAGGAAGATGAATCTTCCTGATTCCCAACCCAATGCTCTATCCATTGTACTACCTAGCTGACCCTAACTCTAACTTCTAGAGTTCAAGGGACCTTTGAAATCATTTAGTTTAACACTTCTTTTTACGGATGAGGAAAGTAAGGCACATAGAGGTCAAGTGTTTTATCCAAGGTTATGCAGCTAGTAAACAGAAGAGCTGGGACCGATAGACTTCTCCATGATGCTTAGCCCGAGCTCTAAGTGATCCCTCCCTCTCTTCCTGAAAGTCCTCTACCATTTATTCTGTTTGACCTCTGTCATAAGCTTAAATCAGTTTCCAACGTGCATTATAGGGTGCATTTGAGAGTGCAGGTTTTTGAGGGACAGATCGTCCTTTAGCCTTGTAAAGGTGGCTAGTATGTAGAAGGCTTTCTGTAAACTTGTTGATTTGAACCGAATAGTAAATGGTGACATAGAAGAAGATAGACCACTAGGGGGCACTGGAAGTCTCTTTGTAAATATAGTGTTTGCAGATGGATTAATGACTGCTTTGGACTGACTGGCCTTGTGACCCGATGGTCTTTTTGATGCTATCCCTATCTCTAGACTGTGGAATTCTTCTTCTTTTAGGCCAGATGGTCAAAGGTCTCCTAGTTCTTAAAGATCTCTAGGGAAAGAGAAGCCACATCCTCTGTTGCTACCCCCTGCTGTAACCCTGAAAGTCACAAAGGTCTGTTCAGTGACTCATCTCAAGCCCCATTTTCTTACATTGCATCCCATTCCCTTTTGTTCTATTTTCAAAGTGTATGTACGTTCGTATGTATGTAGGGGTGTGTGTGTGTGTGTGTATGTGTGTATGCGTATATGTGCACACGTGCATATGGAATGGAGTGTTATCAGCCATCAGAGATTTAAAGCTTGCCATCAAACACTTCTCTCCTCCATCTTTTGCTCTTTAGGTAGAATCATCCTCTTACCCGGAGCCATAACTAGACTTAAGTAACAAGGGCTTTGCCTCAAAAATAAGGTGGGGAATGAGAGCCGTACTTCTTCTCTAGGGCGACCACTGTCTCTATACCGAGCCCCTCTATCTTCTGATGACTTACACCACCGTAAAGTTTGATTGCCTCTTAGCAATTGCACCCAGTGTCTCTTTGCTGCCATATTCCCCTCCTGTGAGGTTTTCTTGCCTCTAGTCCCAGAGAAGGGAAGGGCTGGACTCTCTGGGTGATACTGTCCTTTGTCATACTGTTCTTTGTACTGCCACTCCCCTGTCCCTCAGGTACGAGAATGCTTAGCTATGGCAGTCTCAGTTTCTTTAACATTCCCTCCAGTGACTAACCCCATAATCCATAACCATAGCAAAACCTTTCTTACCCTATTTCTACTATGTTTGAGGAGTGAGGGGAACATAGGTTGAGCTGTCCTCTGAGTAATTCTTCCCAGAAGGGATCATGCTGAAGGGCTGATGTGTTCCCTTTGCAGGTATGTCCATTACTTCAGTGGGCTGCTCTCCGGTTCCATCAAAATGAATAACAAGCCTTTGTTCCTTCATCACGTCATTATGCACGGCATTCCCAACTTTGAATCCAAAGGAGGTCAGTGGCTGATAGTTTAGGTTTCAATCTCTCCACCTTTCCCATTGCCTCAGTTTCCCCTTTCTCTTTTCTCCCTTCTTTCCTTCCTTTTTCACAATCTCCTTCCTTCTCTCCTCATTCTTCCCTCTTTCCTGCTTATGCCTTTTCTTGTCTTGTTTCCTCTCTTTGTTTTCTTTCTCATAACTTCTCTGTTCCTTCTCCTATCTATTAAACATCCTTATCTATTTTTTGGTTGCTTCTTTCAGGTTGTCGACCCTTCCTCAGGATCTACCAGGCCATGCAACCTGTCTACACATCTGGAATCTAGTATGTATCTCTTCCCCATGGAGATGAATAGCTTAGGCTTCCCCCTGTCGCTACTAGAAAGAGACAGGAAGCTATATCTTTTCGTCACATTAAAAAGACCTTAAAAGGACAGTATACTTTACACAGGAATCTGTACTCTTCTTTCTCACTCATCTGGTTTGAGTGGACACCAGTACTGAAGATTAAAATCTGTGTGATCTTCTGAGAAGTTGTGTTGTGGGAAAAGGAGGGTGGGAAGTCTTTGTTCTTGTCCTGAATTTTTCTCTCTCTGTCTCTCTATCTCTCTATCTCTTTCCATTTCTCTCTCTCCGTTTCTCTTCCTCTCTCTTTCCATCTCTCCCTCCACCTCTCTATCTCTCTCTTTTTCTCTCTTTATCTCTCTTTCCATCTCTCTTCACTTCTCTCTTTCTTGATCTGTCTCTCCATCTCCATGTCTCTCTCCACATCTTTTTCTCTATTTCTCTCTCCAACTCTCTTCCTCTCTCTTTCTATCTCTCCCTCCACCTCTCTCTTTCCATCCCTCTCTCTGTCTCTCTCTTCTACTCTCTCTATCTCTCTTTCCATCTCTCTTTTTTCATCTCTCTCCATCTGTCCACATCTTTTTCTCTATTTCTGTCTCCATCTCTTTTTCCATTTCTTTCTCCATCTCTCTTTCCATTTCTCTCTCCACTTCTCTTCCTCTCTCTCTCCATCTCTCTTTCCATCTCTCTCTCCACCTCTTTTTCCATCCCTCTTTCCACCTCTCTTTCTTCATTTCTCTTTCAATCTCCCCATCTCTCTCTCCGCATCTTTTCCTCTATTTCTCTCTCCATCTCTTTTTCCATTTTTCTCTCCACCTCTCTTCCTCTCTCCCTCCATCTCTCTCTCCATCTCCCTATCTCTCTCTCCACATCTTTTCCTCAATTTTTCTCTCCGTTTCTCTCTATTCATCTCTCTCTCTAACCATCTCTCTTTTTTCCATCTCTTTCTCCCCACAGCAATGTCCAAGGAGACAGCCAGACCAGCATCTGTATCACCATTGAGCCTGGATTGCTTCTGAAGGGAGACATCTTGGTAAGGACTGTTTCCTTTTTGGTGATGATCCCTCTGTCCTTCATGTCCTTCTGTTGCCACAGCTGCTGTTCCTACTGCTGCCTCCTCAGAGGAGATGGAGAACTGCAGCAACCAATGAGAACCACAGACTCTATATGTGGGCAGGGCCCTGCTGATGTCATACTTCCCATCTTTTCCCTGTAAGGTGAAGTCCCTTTCTCCTGACTCAGAGCAGGGCAGTAAAGTAGAAAGAAGCCTGAATGAGGAATCAAAAGATCCAGGGAATAGTTGAGACTAAGCTCCTTATTAGAAATAGATGTTTATTGAGAGGCAGCATATGGTGGTTAGAACACTGGCTTTGGAGCCATAAAGACCTGGGTTCAAGCCCTGCCTTTGACGTAACCTGTTTTTGTCACCTAGCCTCTTGGTGTTCCAGTCAATTTTCTTAGTCTCCAAGTTGCGGAGAAGGTACCATTTTACATTAATTAGAGGTAGTTTCTTATTGGAAACCCCTTAGAAAAGGAAATGACAGGTAACTGTTAAAAAGGCAAAAAAAAGATGCTTGTTGGGATTGTATGGATAACCATGTCCTTGGGCAAGTCACTTAATCTGCCTTAGCTTTTGTGTAATGGGGATTACAACTGCTTTACTTTTTTTAAACTGGATTTTTGTCAAGTGCAAATGAGATGTGGGTGAAAGTGCTTTGGAAAAGATTAGATAGGATACAAAGGTAAGAGTAGTATCTTTGTTTCTTGTCTGGAGAGAATATAACTTCTAGCTCTGTGTTCTATGATCATAAGGGACGACATCCGTCCTTGTCACCCTGTCATGTAGCATTTTCCACCGAAAGTCATAGCATCATAAGTGGACATGAAAAGGACCTTAGAAGCCAGTTAGTTCAATGTCCTAATTTTGCAGCCTAGGAAACTGAGGTCTCCACCTCCAAATCCAGTAATCTTCCTACTGTGTCATGGTGTAGTTGCTATAGTAATTAAATAACTAGTTTCCATTTGTTATAATTTAAACCCATCTTCAGATGTGCTGAAACCTCTTAGGATAGAACTTTTTTTTTTTTTTACTTTGTTGGCTGAAAGAGTACCTTCAGGTTGAGGAGATCTCTAAGAGATTTTTGTCTGGTGGTGGCGAGATTTTCCTCCCTGAAACTGGAGATGAGTTCTAGAAACTGTGGGCATTGGCCTGGGGTTCTTTCTGATTCCACTCTTCTCAAGGTGGTCCTGATGTTTCAGTGAGTCTGACCGGTGTCCCCTCTGTGTCTTTGGCCCAGCTGAAATGTTACCACAAAAAGTTCCGAAGCCCGGCCCGGGATGTCATATTCCGAGTTCAATTCCATACCTGTGCCATCCATGACCTGGGAGTTGTCTTTGGGAAGGAGGACCTAGACGATGCCTTCAAAGGTAGGGCCCTTGGGAGTGGGGCATGGAAAAACAGTTTGAGATGAAGCTCGTTCCTTTTCTATCAAGTTGATCTCTTGCTATATTTTCCCAACTCGCTCCGTGCCTCCTCTCCTATTGTATCTTTTCTTCAGTGCCCTCCTTTTCTCTCCCCCTTTGGGACTTCTCGTTTTCAGGCCAGGAATACTGGATCCCCATTCACTATTTCAATCCCCTGCCTCCCCCTTCTTCCATCCTCCCTTAATCTATCCCTTCAGTACCTGGAATTAAATCCTTAGCTGAATGGGGCTGGTGCCAGGAAGAGTTGGGAGGAGAGGTGGGGAGGGTGGTGGGGAGGTTCATGACTCAGATACTAGGAAGCGGGGTGATCCCACAGGTGTGCTAGAGTAAAAGTTGAGAACCTGTTGTTAAATTTTCAGCGTGAGTATGTGTGTACACCTCAGAAATCAGCAAATGCTATATGTCAGGACTTGATTTAGTGTTTTATTGGTTGTCAGGTCTTAAGAAAGTGATGGAGAAAATATGAATAACATAGATTAAACTTAAAAGTGTGTGGTGGCTTCATTCTTTTTTTCTGGAGAGTCAGTTGCTAAATATTTACCAGCATGCCCCTGGATAATCCCCATCATTTTCTTCTGGACCACATGTGTGCAAGATGCCTTTGTGTGCTGAGCAAGATGTGTCTGTGCTGAAGTCAGGGGCTAAGAATTCTCAGAACCTTTTCTGATTGCTGATGGAAGCCTTCCTTCCTTTCTCTTCTTTTCCAGATGATCGGTTTCCAGAGTATGGCAAAGTAGAGTTTGTATTTTCTTATGGCCCTGAGAAAATTCAAGGTATAATCTTCTTTAATTTTCCACCCTACCTATGCCTCCCCTGCCCTGCTTCCTAACCCTGCCCCTTGACCAAATGCAAGATATCTGTGTTCAAAAATTAGAATAGCAGATAAATATTTGGGCATTAGAGTGGATGCCAGCTATACTGAATGAGAATCAAGTGACCTAACTGTGGAAAAAACAATACAAAAGGAGACAAGATAGATTTCATAGATAGCTAAATCTGGAAAGAATCTTAGAGATCATCTAGTTCAACACCCTTGTCTCGCAGCACCTGGTACACAGTGGGTGCTTAATAAATGTTTATTGACTGACACATGAGAAAACTGAAGCCAGGGATGTAATTAGTGCAGAGCTAAGACATCAACTCAAGATTCCTGACTCATCACATGAAAATGGTATTGGAGTAGATAAATAGTATAGGAACCATTAGGTTATTTTCCTATCATAATCAGCCTCAGAGTCCATCTCTAGGCTCCACATATAAAGGCTTAGAGGCTAGAGGAAAGGCATGAAGATAGTAGAAGGACAAAGGAATAGTGTTTATGAGAGTAGGGTAAAGGAACTTGAATGATTCAACCTAAAGAGGAGAAGGCTGATTAAACATTAGCCTTTAATAGTGTTGGTAGGCAGAGGATGGTGACCTGATATTCTCAGCTCATGGAAGAAAGAAAATGAGGGACTGATCATAGGTTGAAGAGAGGATTTAGGATAGCTTGAAGGACAGCAAAGGTGATTAAGCTTTAGTGGGTATGAGTGACTGAGATTGAGTTGTCTTCCTTTGTAGAAATATTTTTGAACTGGGAGGACCTCCTATTGGTTTGGCTGAGGGAGGGAGCATCCTAATGGGGGGGGGGTAATGAGTGGTTTGACCTTTAAAGAACCCAAGGGCATTTACACTTCTCTGATTCTACTAGGGGTTAATGTGGGGTCCACAAAGTTGCTTTTTTAAAAAATTGATAACTATTTCAATATAATTAGTTTCCTTTTATAATCCTATGTATTTTATTTTATGCATTTAAAACATTTTTAGAAGGGGTCTATAGGTTTCCCCACACTGCCAAAGGTTGAAAACCTCTGCTGTAGGCTGCCTCTGATCCATAGGTCAGTTTAATTTAGCATTTCTTGAGAGCTTTCTGCATACAAGGACCAGCATTCTTCTTTCACAGTCTTTGACCCCAGTCAGTTATAGCATGAATCTTCTTAAACCCCCTTTCTCTAATTCCAGTGGGAATTTTCATGGCATTTTCATGATTGTTTTAGAAGAGGAGTTGGAATAACTCAGAAGGCTAGAAACTTACTTGCAGTGAGGGCTCCAAGCTTCTCAGCACTCCATCTTCCGGGGCTCCATTGTGTGACCTGGGTGTAAGCCTCATCAATAGCATTAGGGCCTAGACTCTGGAGTTCCTTAATCAGCCTGGCCATTGGCCCTCAGATGGGTCCCTTACCCATTCTGTGCCTCATTTTCCTTCTTTGTGGCTTCAAGATGATGTGAAATTGCTTAGAGACCTTCCTTAGGGGAATACTGTGATTTCCTTGTTTATTCCAAATGTAAACCTCTTTTCACTTCCCTGTCCTCCAATCACGCAGGAATGGAACATCTGGAAAATGGGCCAAGTGTGTCTGTGGACTATAACACCTCTGACCCTCTCATCCGCTGGGACTCCTATGACAATTTCAACATGCACCGAGAGGACAGCATGGAAGGTAGGTGCGACTGGGGCTGCTTCCCTGCCTCCTTTCCAAAGGTCAGTCTGTTGAAGTGAGGTTTGTGATATAGTCTAAGCTGGAGGAAAATAATACTGGGGTTATTTAGATAACATAGGTTATCTAGGTTACATGGTTATCTATGGATTTTGGGTACCAGCTTTGCAAATCCATGTAGAAAAATTTCTGCTTCTTCCACAGTATTTGGTGAACTACAGAATATGCATTCAGTAACTATATCTGTCCCCTGTCCCCCTGTCCCCTCCTTCCTCACCTCCATGGTCTATGAAACAGTAGGAGGCTAGGTAGCTAGCTGGATATGAGGCTACACTTAGAATTAGGATGCTTTCAGTTCAAATTCTGTTTAGACACCTACTTAGCAATGTGGCCTTGGGCAAGTCATTGAACCACTTAGAGCCTCAGTTTACTCATTTGTAAAATAGGACTAATTATAGTTCCCACCTTGTAAGGTTGTTGGGAGGATCAAACAAAATAATATAATGTAAACCTCTTTGCTGACCTTAACACGCTATGTAAATGCTAGCTATTGTTATTATTAAGTGCTAGTTTTGAAACTGGAAGACATAGCTTCTTGGCTCTGTTACTTCTGTATTTTGGTCTTGTTTGTCAAGGAGAAATAAATCTTTGGGATTGGAAAGTACAAAAAAGAAGTAACTAATGGAGAATTGAAACGCAACATAAATAGGAGGATGTGATAAGAGTTGTGGTGGCTCTTGGTTTCAAGTCAATAGGCTCAAACAAATTATATATGAAAAAAATGACCAATGTGATCGCTGAGCTACTGTCAGTGATCTTTGAAAAAAATCATGGAGAATAGAATTGGTGCTACAGAATTGGAAAAAGGCAAATATTATCTTAATTTTTTTTTTTTAGAAAAGGGGAAAAAGGCAAATCTGAAAACTATAAGCCAATGCATTTGATTTTGATTCCTGATAAAATTCCATTATTATTAAAGGGATGGTTATTGGATAGCTGGAAAAGGAAGCAGTGATCAGAGCATTGGTATCCTCCAGAATAGAACCTGCCAGGCTAACGTTATTTTCTTTTTTGACAGTGCTAGACCAGTAAATCAGAAGAATGATAATGGAGTTAGTTTGCTTACATTATTTTTGGAAAAAAATAAAAAGTATTCACAAAGATTCTTATGTACTTGTGTGAATGAGATGAAGGGAGATATGGACTAGACAACAGTACACTTAACAGATTCACCTGCTGAATGGTCTGACCCAATGAGTCACTGATGACTCAATGTCAACTTGAAGAGTAGTTATGCTTCGAGGTCCCCAGACATCTATTCTTAGCCCTGGGATATCCAGGGCATTTTTTATCAGTGACTTAAATGATTATCAAACTTGCTGATGACCCAAGGCTAGGAGAGACAACAATATAGGTAGTAACAGGATCCCAAAAGATCTTGACAAACTTGAATATTGGGACAAATCTAATGAGATGAAATTTAATATGAATAAGTGTAAAGTCTTATGCTTGGATTAAAAAAAAAACCCTGAATAAGTAAAAGATGGGGACATCAAGACTAGATAGTAGTATTTGTCTGAAAACAATTTGGGGGAGGGAGCAGTCTAGCACAATATGACTCAACCAAAAAAGGTAATGTGTTCATAGGCATAGTATCCAGGAATGCAGCAGTCCGGCTCTCTTTGGCCCTGACCAAACCACAGCTGAGTTTCACATTTTAGGAAAAAGTATTGATAAACTTTCAGATTAAAAGAAACTGGGGATATTTAGACTGGAAAATAGCTGGCTTAGGAGGGTCATGATTGCTGTTTTCAAGTGTTTGAAGGGCTCTCTTCCGGGGAGAGTGATTGAATTTGTTCTTGCAATGGGTGGAATTTTCCGTCAGCCCGAGCTAGACTTGATGTAAGGAAATACCTAGCAGGTGAGCACGGAGAACCAGAGCCTACTCAGATCTTCAGGTGCTTTCTACTGGTTACATACCGATTTTTTTCCCCTTCTGAATGGGGACTGCTTCTCTGCGTCTCTGCTTATATTCCAGGATTCTTTAGATAGATATAGCTGATAGAAGGTATGCCCCTGGCTCTCGGGACACATCTTCACTTGGATTCCCTGAAACAAGGGAGAGAAGAGGGAAGAGGATTGAGGGTAGGGGAAAGAAAATAATAATAAAGAGGACTGAAATGAGGAGCAGAGAAAATCAGGAATAGACAGAAAGTTCAGGTGGGCTGTGACGAAGGAGGGAGAAGAGATAGCTGTGGGAATGAAAAAGAGATGCTAGAGAGGTCTGAGAGGAAAACCAAGAGATCAAAAGAATGGAGAAAAGATGGGAGGGAGTTCAGCTGGAATCCTCTGACCTGCTTCACACACTCTGCTCTCCTCCCTCTCTTGCTCCTAACATCTAGGAATGGGGACGAGGGAAGGGAGAAGGGAACAGATGGAGCCCTTTGGCTACTGTAAAGGTCATTCTGTCCAGAAAGGGACAGAGAGTCTCCTGTGTAGGGACATAGGACCTGGCTCAATGCCCAAGGGGCCTGGAAGAGGGGACAGAGGAGTCAGGCATCTAATTGGAGAGTAGGGTGTGGACGGCATCTCATCTCTCCTCTTTCCTGGTTAGGCACAGGGTGGGGCTGGCCTGCATGGTAGAAGGAGGCTTGTAAAACTCTGCAACTCCATCAGAGGAGACATACACCCTCCTCTTTGTTACACTGTCTATCCTCCATTTAGGGCATGGAAAACTGGCCTGCTCTTAAAAGGCCCTGAATTCCTGGCAGGGGCAGGAAAAATAAGAGGCTGAGTTTACTCCCTGGGACAGGTGGTGGGTGGTGGGGGGTTAATGGTCAAAAGTAGTGACCACTGTTCCAATCTCCATTACTCATAGGATCGTAGACTTAGAGCTGGAAAAAAATTTTAGCGACCAATGAGTCCAGCATCAATTTTTTTTTTTAAGATGAGGAAACTGAGGCTCAGAAAAAAATTAAGTGTTTTGGCCCAGGATCGTGAAGAGACAGAATTCAAATTCAGGTCTTTCTGGTTCCAGATTTAGCATCCTATTCACCACAGTTTGCTGCCCCTATTCCTGGCTGGGGGAAATTATAACCTTCCATCCGTTTTCCCCCCTGCCCTCACTTTCAACTCTAGAATCCTGGGGTAAAACTCATTCCTTTGATTCTCTAACTCTCTGAGGATCCAAGGAGGTGAAGACACTTGTATTTTCATGTCAATTCCATCTTTCTTAGTGTTGGGCAATTCCTTCTTCTCCTGTGGCTGAATTTCCTTCTGTATGGGGTTAGGAGTAAGGTTGACATGGAAGAGGAGAGAAAGGGCCGGATGCATCAGGGATTAGGGGTGGAGTATTTTAACTATCAGGGAGAAGAAGAGAAGGAAGGTTAGATGAAGCTGGAGCCTGGTCGTGGGTACTTGAGTTTTGGTAGATCATAAAGTAAGGGGGAACTGTCTGCCTTGACCCTTCTCTGGGGTAATCAAGGAACAAGAAGGCAGGGCTGAACCAAGATCAGGTTTTGCCTTTCCACACTGACCTGAGCCAGGAGACCCAACCTCCCTTACTTGAGAGATGAGGTTACATAAGTAGCAAGCTGAAGCCTAGGCTTGACAGCTATGCCCTATGGCACATACTTTTCCCATCTAAGGATGGCTTCTACTCAGAGGAGATTTGTAGCAGAAATTTTGGATGTTACAGTGGCCAGAAAGTCGCTTAATGGTCTCAGTGCCCTAGGTAGCTCTCTAAAAATTGGTAGGTGCTGTTTCCTTGTCTGGAGTTTTCTATTCTAAAGGTGGTAGACACATGGTGGCAAGAGGGCTGTCGGAGCCAGATTAAAATGAAATTGGGAAATATTTATTAAAACATTTTTAAAGATACAATATCACATAGGTGATGTTAAGATGTGATTTTCTAAGTAAATATGCTTGAGCAGGAATCCTTATGTATAGTTTAATGGCCCTTTTTCTATTTGAGTTTGACCATGTTGCCTATACCAATGAAATCAGTCATCTGGCAAAAATAGAAGAAAGCTACACAATTCATTCTGACTGGGGGCGTGTTGGGGGCTGGGGGAAATGTTTTTTTTTCTTCAATTTTTCCACAGGGAAGGTCAGTGGGGTGGTGAGTCCAGATTAGATTGGGATCATGTGCCCCAGATCAGAATGAGCACCATTTCTAGAAATGGCCCATCTCCTCTATTTAAATCCTGATGGAGAAGGGAGGGGGAGTGAGTTCCTCTGGAGCTTGCTGCAGTGACTCAGGCTGCCACTGGGAGAAGAGGGAGGTGGGTAGGGCAGTGAGAAAGGCTGGGAGCCAAGTACACTTGAAATGAACATTAACCAGATATTCATCTCCAGGCTATTTAAGGCCTCTTTGGAAACTGGCTTCTGAAATGACTCTGAGACCCCTCACCCCTGGGAAGGGGCTATGAGGTCTCCTCCCTCATCCCACTTTCCCTTCCCTTCTCAAAATTAAGACTCTGGATTCTATTGGAAATCCTCCAAGTACGCGTTCACTTACTAAATCCTTCCCTAAAATGCCTCACAAGGAATCATAAAAACAGAGAACTTTGGAGTTGGAAGGGGCCTTAGAAACCATCTAGTTCATCTTATTTTAAAGGTAAGCAAACTGAGGCCTGGAGAGGCGACTGGTCCAAGTTTACACCGTAGTAGCAGAGGTGAGATTAGAACCCAGGTTTCTTGAATCTCAGCTGGGATTCTTTCTGTCTCAGGTCCCACTGGTACAGGCCCATACTCCCCTCATCTTGATATGTTCTTTGCCCTTATTTCGTAGGATTTAGAGTTGGAAGAGACCTTAGGATCCTAGTCTAATCCATTACCTCTTCCCATGTTACAGATGGAAAAAAATTCATCTTTGAGAGGATAAGGGACTTATTTGTCCAAGGTTTTATAGGCAGGATCGTAGGATCTGGAGAATTTAAAGCTGGAAGGACCCTCAGAGCAGACCTTAATATATATATATATATATAGACCCTTTTGGCAAG